GATGTAAGCACATCGAGACAATAACCAGAGCTAATATTGGCGTGAACACGCAATACATTGTGTAGACCAGGTTAGTCTGGTCTCCCGACGGACAGAGGACAGTAGTAATACCTGCAGAAAATTTACTGGCGAGTCCTCCTCTCCTCAAAGTAAAGGGATTGGCGGACGGACGAAGGGGAGGAGAGTAGGAGCCAAGGGAGGAGCTGAAGCGTAGAGGACACCCGCCCTAGATTCATGTGTGCTCCTTCCTCAGCTCCTCCCCTTAATCTTTAACTCTTTGAAGAAACAGTTTCAGAACAGGGTGTAACAAACAAACAGGTTTGGAACTGCTCTTAGATGGACACCTTTAGGCCGCTGCGTCATCCCAGCAGCAGCCACTACACTTATAAATAGATTATTATATAAGGTTACTGAACATTATCTGAGGAAGAACGTGATAACATAGCACAATAACCCAACGTGAACCTCCTCGGACACCTCTTCGAAAAGTACAGGTATTGAAGGTGAGATCACGTTATATTTTTATTTTTCGGAACTAGACTTAAACTTAGGAACTTTCGTCGGCCATAGAGGACACATTAGGCCTGCGTCATCCCCACCGAACAACAGCAGCCACTACTTCCCGCGGGGAGGTCTCTCGTATCGTCCACGACGTCGCCCTTTGTCACTCTCACCTTGTGACCGGGTGACGGAGTCGGCGCCGGACACTGGAGAGGGTTTTCGTCGCCCTTGTGTGGCGGTCTCTCGAGACTGCTGGTCGCCCCCTTCCTAATTATTAGTGTAACACATAATAATCGATCAACACAATATTTCTCGTACCACCTACATAGTCCATGTAGTAATTCATGCTAATTTCTAGGGATAAATTTGACAAAGAGTAAGTTATCCGAGTCAATATATGTTTTGTTTTGTACAGAGTTAACTTTTGTTCCTCGGGGAGGGGTGCAGGAGACTCTCTCTAACCAATGTTTCTTCGAGTACCACGGATTCTCCTCAGTCCACTATATCCATCCCCCCCAATGGAACCAACGACTAACCGATTCCAATGTGTTCCTGTTTTGGTTAGTGCTGTAGTATTCATCCGGTTTACGACTAGTACAGAGTAAAAGTCTGTCCAAAAATATCTTTACCTTAAGTTTTTCTCTCTCTTAAAACAAGGACTTTGAAAGTCTCAGACAAAGAGTGTCTACCCCTGTGTACACCTACATCTTCATCTGTACTTCTTCTCCCCTGGTGTACAACTACATCTATCTCATGTACTTTTTCTCCCTGTGTACAACTACTTCTTCTTGTACATTCTTCTCCCTGTGTACAAACTACTCTTCTCTGTACTTCTTCTCCCCTGTGTACACTATACTTCTCTGTAACCTCCATCTCCCTTGTACAACTAAACATCTTCTCTAGTACTTACTTCTCCCCTGGTACGACTACATCTCTCTGTACTTCTTCTCCCCCTGTGTCAACTACTTCTTCTCCCCTGTGTACAACTACCATCTTCTCTGTACTTCTTCTCCCCTGTTGTACAATACATCTCTCTGTTACTTCTTCTCCCCTTTTGTACAACTACTTCCTTCTCTGTACTTCTTCTCCCCTGTGTACAACTACTTCTTCTCCCCTGTGTACAATACATCTCCTCTGTACTCTTCTTCGCTGTGTACCAGACACTTCTTCTCTGTACTCTTCTCCCGTGTACCACTATATCTTCTCTGTTACCTCCTCTCCCCATTGTACAACTACATTTCTCTGTACTCTTTTCTCCCCTGTAAGTACCAACTACATCTTTTGTACTTTTCTCCCCTTTGTAACAACTCTTCTTCTCCCTGTGTACAACTACATCTTCTCTGTACTCTCTCCCCTGTGTACCACCGCATCTGTCTCTGTACTTCTTCTCCCCTTGTGTCCAACTTACTTCTTTCTGTACTTCTTCTCCCTGTGGTAAACTAACTTCTTCTCTGTACTTCTTTCTCCCTGTGTACAACTACTTCTCTCTGTACTTCTCTCCCCTGTGACAACTACTTCTTCTCTGTACTTCTTCTCGCCCTGGTACAACTAATCTTCTCTGTACTTCTTCTCCCCTGTGTACCACTACATCTTCTCTGTACCTCCCCTCCCCTGTGTACAACTACTCTTTCCTGTACTTTTCTCCCCTGTGACAACTACATCTTCTCTGGTACTTCTTCTCCCGTTGTACAAACTACTTCCTTCTCCCCTTGTGTACAACTACATCTTCTCTGTACTTCTTCTCCCCTTGTACAACTACATCTTCTCTGTACTTCTTCTCCCTGTGTACAACTACATCTTCTCTGTACTTCTTCTCACCCTGTTGTACAACTACATCTTCCTGTACTTTCTTCTCCCCTTTGTACAACTACTTCTTCTCTGTACCTCTCAACCTAAAACTTATTACAACTGAATTTTGCAAACTTAAACTTTTCAATACACAGAAACGACACTAGGACTCAACACGTAACCGGGAGTGGCACATCGTCGTAGTGTGACCCCCCGGGCAGCGCAGCATTTACGTACGGGACGTCCCCCGCGACCGTCGAGTCCGTCCGTCTTCGCAGCCTCACCTTCTCAAGGAGCGTACCGAACTGTCGGCCGACCCCACGCCCTGTCTCGGAGCCGGTGTCGAAGGGTGTAGAGAGCTTGTCCTCCTCTCTCCGTGCTCTCTCTGCAAACTTATTTATTCTATAGTTTTGTTCTACAAGTGTTTTATTGTAGGGTAGAACGATGAGAGGAGACGAACACAATTATTGATGTCACAGGATGGGCAATACGCATAATATTATTGTTTCGATAAGTAACAATTATAACATTACATGTACGCGAAGCTCTGAACTTTTCGCGAGTTTATTTATGGGTCATTAACAATAATAAAGGTGTAATTTTTGTCTGCCAAATTACCTACCAAATCAAAATGCCTGAGAACCAAACTCGTCGCAATACATCCTAATAAAAAGAATGTGGTTGATGGGGCGGTTAAGAGACAAGCGTGAAGGAGGTCGGTTCCTCTGTCAACGTCTCTTTCAAGGAGGTACGTTTGATGACTCTCGTTCTAGGACACTTAGTGGAGACCTATCTCTGAAATGTAAACTAAAAAATAATAAAAACGAACGAAATTCGAAGGTTCTGCTCTCGGTAGTCAAGGAGATAAAAACTAGCTACGTCTATAGAAGTTGAGAGACGTTGAACGTAAGTTTATGTCAAACAAAGCCCCATACAGGGAAATTCCAGTTCGTCACTTGACTCTTGGTGACGTCTCTATATAATTTCGGACACTTATGTAAAAAATAGTATTTATAAACGCATGGTCTTTTTTAGACTTGAAAGTCAAGAGAAAAACAAACAAAAATGAAGCACAAAATATTCAACATAAGAATAAGACAAAACACATTTTATGAAAACTGGAGGACAAACTTTTCATCATTATCATCGAAAAAATATAAATGTGCAGACCATAATGTTACAAAAGAGTTATTCACGTTTGTTTAGGTAAATCTTACGTTACTATTACATTAAAAAATTTAGTCGTTTATAGTGTAGGTCGGCAGACAGAAACCAGCACCACACACATTGGACACCACCCCTCACTACTGCCCACGCAAACACGGTACAGAGAACTACTCGGAACCAGAGGGAGAGGTTCGAGAGGTGGAGGGGAGTATAAGTCTCCCTGCGGAAGGTGGACCCTATCGGTACCCGGCCTTCCCCACTCCCATGTGTGTGTGTGTGGTGTGTGGGTGTTGTGTGTGTGGTGTGTGGTGTTGGTGTGTGTTGTGGTGTGTGTGTGTGTTTGTGTGTGTGTGTGGTGTGTGTGTGGTGTGTGTTGTGGGTGTGTGTGTGTGTGTGCAGTGTGGTGTGTGTGTGTGTGTGTGGTGTGTGTGTGTGTGTGTGTGTGGTGTGTGTGTGTGGTAAATTTAGGTATGTAATAAGGTGTATCGAAGTAAGTTGTATGGAATTTCCCGTAAAACAATAAGTGATAACTTCGTCAATGGAGATATTTTGCCAACATGTCCAGGTCTCTACTTATTAAGGAGTACACTACTTGAGCTGGTCGATTTAACATACACGGAAAAAATGACATGTACGTTTCGTTACTCACAAATGAATCACTTTATAATTATTATTATATTATTATTATTTGAAATAAACATATCTCTCCGCTTGCACTTGGAGGTACCCTGAATTAAAGCCTTTTGATACATAACTTCAGTTACCTCTCTCTTTCAATAGAAAGCTAGGCAAACTTAACAAGGGCTTAATTGTGTACTACACAGTAAATTTCTATTAAAAAATTCATTTTTTTTTACAAAACGGAATTTTTGACCGCATTCCGCTGAAAAAAGACCGACTTTGGGCGAGTACTGGGAGTTCAGAGACAAGAGCGGTGTTGTTGTTGCAGGGATTCAACCGGCAGGATGACAGAAAGGTTGTTCCCTTAACTGATGGGAGGGTAGTGGTGTTACTTTGTGCAGGTCTTTTCTTACAGTACGTTTCGACCGGACCGAAGGAAACTAAGGGGACTTGACGGACTAGAAAATATTACCAAGTTACATTCAGTAAACAGTCTATCGTGTTTCATCTTTCTATGCGCTCACGATATACATCGCAATCGTAATCGTACAGAGGTGGCCCCAGTAGGCCGAATTTACAATAATTATGGGCCTTAGAGGTGTGGCCACACTGTCATGAGAAGTTGTCCCAAGGTCTTTATACTTTGATTATGAGAATGACCTGACAAAACCAACGAATTTACAATGAAGGACCAATCCGATTATTTTTCTGTTCGATTCCGAAATTACGATTGATTGCACGTCGATCCATCGTTGAACTAGGTCGGTGAACCAGGAGAGTAGTCGCCCTTCGCTTTTTGTTCGTTCGGTAACGACAATACTATTGTTTGGACCATGGTTCGTGTGTCAGAACAATTTCAATAGAATAGAATCGATTAAATCACTCCTTTTGTTAATACTTTAGTCAATACTGAGACCCTAAGACATCAGAAAGATCAACGCATTAAAAGTATCAGAATATAAAGTTAGTTGTCAAATGCTGTTTTGCCACTGAAAATACGTACCTTTTACTCAAAATTCTAACTGTTTGTGTCATACACATAAGCACCTGTTATAGTTTGCCCTAGCTTTCTATTGGAAAGGGAGAGGTAACTGAAGTTATGTATTAAAAAGGTTTTATTCCAAGGGTACCTGGCCTTCATACCGCCCTGAAGCGGAGAGATATTAGTATGAAAGTTGCCTTCTTCTTTCAGGAACTTAATATGACGGTTCCTAATTTTATCAATCATATTTGTTAATTTTATCTATATTTACATTTTATTTTCGTTTTTGTCTTTTTTATGCGTTTTTTGTACCTGTACTATGATCACCACTTTTTTTGTTTGGTATGACAACGACCGTCCTCCTCTAAGTAACTAAACAAATTCCTCCTCCTCCCCTACGGTAGTAGAACCTGACTCCTCCTCCTCCTCTAAAGTAACACACCAATTTCTCCTCCTCCCGCTTTCGGTAGTAGAACCCGACTCCTCCCTCTCCTCTAAAGTAACCAACCAATTTCCTGCTCCTCCCCCTTGCGGTAGTAGAACTGACTCCTCCTCCTCCTCTAAAGTAACAACCCAATTTCCTCTCCTCCCACTGCGGTTAGTAGACCCGACTCCTCTCCTCCTCTAAAAATAACCAACCAATCCTACCTCCTTCCTCCTCCTGCGGGTAGAACCCGACTCTCCCCTCGTCCCGTCGCCCCCCAAACCAAACCGTCATTAGACGTTCGCTTTCCCTCTTTGAGAACTACACCAACTTCGGCCCCGCCCCCGACCCAAAACCCACCCGTCCTCGCCGCCCCCCCGAAGCCCTCCGCCTCCCTCTCTACGACCTCGTCCCCCCGAGCCAACGCTGACTTAACATCCCGAGAGCAATGAATTCATTAAATGCTTTGACAATAAATACATTAAAAAAAGTCATCTGTGGAAGCCGTGGCGCTGTAAAAAATAGGACCAATCATCTGAGCCGGCCCGGCTAAAGTAACTGGATGGCCTACCTGCCTGTCAGCCTTCCATCTGTGCACAAACTGATCTCGTGCCCTCATTGGTCATGTGTGCGTTCGTGTGTGTTGGAGGAGGGGCTCTGTAAAGAAGTCTGAAGGAAGGGGCAGATTTTTTTCGGCTGCGTATTTTCAAATTCTAGCGCACTCCAGCTGGTTTCTCCATTCTTACCTACCCTACCTTTAAAGCTTAAAGAAAAAAAGACGACTGAAAATAGTTTCTGTAAAAATCAACAAATCAATCAAATTGAATTTCTCATCATACATGGAAATAACTTTGTCAGGTTTATTATTATCATCAATGGTTTGGGGATGTTATAAACACAAGCAGAGACACATAGGAAGGTCCGTGTATTTGTAAATAATTCTATTTATTAGTTATTATTTCTATATAATTTACTCTTTTCAAACATCTCTCTCTCTTGTGTCGTCTGGTTGGCAATGAACATCTGAAGTCCCAGCTTCTTGGAACAACACATCTGACACTGGGTACAAATGTAGTAAAACAGGATAAAGGAGAATGTATGGGAATGGGAGTTGCTCCCGATGGCATGGCCAAATGTGTGTGAATGTTAGTTCCTAGAGTAAGGTACACTGCTCTGTATGAATGGGTGTGAATGGGGGAATGACATGTAGTATGTAAAGCGCTTTGAGGGGTCGTAAAGACTGGACAAAGCGCTATATAAGTACAGTCCATTTACCATTTAAATACTTTACATTGGAATAAAACACAGCTTATTGTAAGTATACATAAATGTATGGATTGTAACCAGATGTATGTGCTATAAACAATTGAAGGGGAAGTCTGTTGCTCTTGGTCCTGTATGATTTTGAAAGGTCAAATCTATTTTAAGCAGTTTATACATTTCTATGACCCCATTTATCACCTCTGGATACTGATAAGAGTTTATTGGAGGAAGGAGGCAGCAGCTCTTCTTCCTCATGTGAAAGTGTGCACAGGCTAAACTGTGGCTATAAAAATCAATCAATCAATGTTTATTTATACAGCTCAATATCACACATATCTCAGTGGACAGTTTGTACAGAATATCCCTGACACGACCCCCTCTGTCCTTGTCCCCTCCCATCGGACAAAGAAAGAAATACCAATAAATCCGTCAGACAACTAGCTGGCAGGCCCCTCAGCATACTGCTTTCGGTGCTACTTGACTATGAGTGTGAATGTGTGAGAATTAGCTTAAGGCGATCAACTAACCCCCCCCCCTCTCTATCCCAGGCGTTTCTCCCCTCAGTGTGTGAGCTGTAACGAGCCCATCGTCCCCTCCCCGGGCAGCGAGGAGACGGTCAGAGTGGTGGCTCTGGACAAGAACTTCCACCTGAAGTGTTACCGTTGTGAGGTGAGACATTTAAACTCAAGGTGTTGTCAAAATAAACCTCACTTCATGTTCAAGGTTCTAGGCTTTTACTGTGATGTGTGCATAGCTAGAGTGTAGTGAACATCTTAGGTCACAGGCTCCTCCTACAGTGCAACACAATAAAACAGATCATAGCTATTGAGATGTTTACATGTTGGAATGTTTATTTCTAGTCTTTTAATTGTTTATTGTACAACACCATGTCTTTTTAAGCTGCTGCAACGCAAAGAAATCTCAAATTGGGATCAATAAAGTACTTCTTATCTTATCTTAGTAAATAACCTGCTAATAAACACATCTGTGTGTCTGTCCTGCAGGATTGTGCCCGCCCTCTCTCCATAGAAGCCGATGAAAATGGCTGCTACCCATTGGATGGCAAGATCCTGTGTATGAAGTGCCACACCCAGCGAGCCAAGCAAGCTGCGCAGTGATTGGCTGAAGCGGCGTTACTCTCCGATTTAACTATGAACCAAAATCCAAAAGCACAGGATTCATCCAGCGGCCCTTTTGCCTTGGCAGCAGTCATTCAGTGTACATGTGCAGGTGTGTGTGTGTGTGTGTGTATGTGTGTGTGGAGCAGTGTGTCTGCATGCAGATCCAGAGTAGTATTCCCCTCGTCTTTGTTCTCTTCAGTGCAGAAGTAATGTACTGCATTGATTTCCATCTTTTATCCCCGAACTCATCTAGCCCTCTTTGTGTACAACCACATATTTTTTGTGCATATTCCTTGTTTACGCTAAACGTTTCCAGCATAACTTGCACAAGAACAGTCAAAAGAGCAGTCTGATGAATATAAAGTTGCCTTCTCGCGCCTCCATATTGTAAGTAGCAACAAGAAATTGCCATTTGAAGCGTTCACTGGGCGGTCTCTGTCCCTGTGAGCATGGTAACGAAGACGCTTTGTTACCATAGGCTGAGAAGTGACACATTTGACCACACAGATTTCACCACTCCGATTGGCTGCTGGTTGAGAATATCTTTAACATGTTGGTAGTTTTTGTGCCTGCACGCGTGCTTAATGATGCTTTCCTGCATAGAGAGTGCTTCATGTCAGCCAATCTACTCCGACAGCATCTTAAAGACGTCTAGGGCTAATCATTAACTGCAAAAAAAAACAGGGATTGTTGCTCTTAGTTTGTGAATTTAATCATTTACAGGCATGCGTTTTCACTGTCTCGTAGCTTTCTCTCCTTCAATCATACACACAGTAAAAGGGCAAGATCAGAACAAAAACGAGTCCCTTGAGTATTTTTACATGCATGCTTTTTGAATGCACAATTATGAACAAGCACAGATCCCATTCAACGGATCTAATAAAAAGAAAATGGTTATGAATGCCAGCTGCACGGCTGAAAGCAGGACCTGTCATGTGATCGTTGCACATTTCCACAGTGAAATAAAAAGCCTTTGAGTGTCGCTTTGACTCTAAAGCCCCCGCACATGATACATTTTGTATTAGTGGTAACCATCTAGACATACTAGTAGCTTTTGATATGCATCTCTTGCTTTAAATATTGTAATTTATGGATTCTTTTTGTATTAAGTATTAAGGTTATGTGTACAAAACAACCTGTCCTTACAGTAGAGTAATAGATTAGCATATGATACAAATTAGTGACCAAATATGTTGTAGCTGGAAGTTAATAAAACACGTTACATGAGATTCAATGTCTGACTTTCATGTATGTTCTTAATCACCTTCTTGTGTTTGAGCCCAGTTTATTTTGGTTTATTGTATTGTTAAAGTTAATACCACTATTAATTCCATTATTCATCTTTTGTACTCTGTTCATGTCGGTATATTCTACTTTATTCCTATCTTACTGTACTGTATTTCGTTGATAAATGCTTACAATGATTCCATTCTGACCCTGGAGACGTGCCTTCTCCGCTGTTGTTTCTCTGAGTTGAGCCTACAGAAATTCATTCCACACAGAAAACACAAAACATGGCAACAGTGATTGAGCGTTGCATGCTATCTGTGTCAGTGGTGGTGTTTCCTCCAGTGTTTCCTCTTCAGTCTGCACCGCCCGCTCCGCCCTGCCTTCCTCATCACTCTGAGATTTGATGATGCCTTCATGGTTGCATTTATCTGGCGTTCTGTTGTGTTTTGTCATATTGTATTACATGCGGATGCCTTGTCCTTTCATATAACTTTTTTAAAAATGAATTCCTGTTTGATATGTGTGAATGTGTATGTGTTAAAAATCCTTATTTAGCCCCCCCTCCCTCCTCTCCCTTTGACTGTATCAAAAGATAAATAAATAAATACAATGCTAAATATCAAATTTTTCTTTCTGATCTCTCAACTGAACAACCATGCTATTAATAAGGTGGTGGAATAAGTATTATAGTTTACTTAAATTAAAGTTGCAATACTACATTGTAAACATTACTATAGCCGCTCTCACACCAAGTACTTTGCCGTACTTAGACCCCATTTACACGGGAACGTTTGCGTTTGCGACCCCGGAGCATGGTTGCCATGGTTGCCCTTCTGTTTATTCTGATAGTGATAGTGGATTGTCAAAGAAAAAAAATTCTATGCAAACGTTATTATTATACTTTGAGAACCCCTGGCTGGTGAGCTACTTTTGAAATGACCAGCTCACCGAGGTCTACCAACCCAAAAAAAAATCCCAAATTGCAAGAGTTTCTGAATAACACGTTTTATTTATACATGGGACAACTAGGCTGCAACAAACGACTAATTTGATAATCGATTAATCTATCGATTAATGAAACGATTAATCGACTATTCGGACTATTATGCCTTGCACAATTTCTCAAACGCTCTTATTTAGCCATCAACTTTTAGATTTAGCTTGAGGTTGTTTTAGGCATGTGGAAACTAGCAATGAAGACAATAAAGATGAATACTTGATTCAAAAATACATATATTCTTAAATTAACTAAACAAATTGTGAACAAAATTAACATTGCTTTTTATTAATTAAATAAATAATATTTCACATCAAAAGAAACAACAATGTTTTAACAAATCGTACTAAATAATCTGATAACAGAACTGTTAACAGAATAGCTGAAACTTTAACAAAATAAAGAGTAACTCTGTTACCTCTAATCATTAACCCATGTTTGTATAATTGTGTTAACTCCATGTGTTGCTGCTAGCATACATAACACCTGACGTGGAAACGTTACTCGTGGATGGGGCTACAGAGCTGCTAGAAAGACAGTCGAACCCGGTGCATTCCTCCGTCTGAATGTGGTGCACTTTTGCTTAATGTTTAGACAAATTGCTCGTGTTACCGCCCTTACATGCTAAACACTCTCGGCAACGAGCATTGTCCACCTCAAGACGGGTAACATTTAACCACACCTTGGAGCGCTTCTCTCCGCCCATACTTGCCAACCTTTAGACCTCAGAAATCGGGAGCATTTAAAAATACAAAATTGGGGGGGTTGCTAGTGGATCGCCGGAGCTGTTAGATTAACATCAACATGCTTATTGTAGTTGTAAGTGCACTGCCTTGCGGCCTGTAGCACCATCCTTGATGGAGCATGACCTGTATTTTACAGGAAAGGAGTGAGCAGAGAGTAGAGTAGTTGTCGATTATTTTTCTGTTTTCTGTGAATATCTGCCTCACCACCCTCTCAGACTTTGAGTTGCGCGCGCTACTAAAGAGACGTGTTACCATGGAAACCAAACAATGGTGTAGCTGTATTAAAGTCTGAGTGGAAACAGTTGTGTGTAAATCTGATTTTGTCAGAAATCGGGAGAAATGCGGGAGAAATATGACCCCGGGAGGAAACCGGGAGAGGGCAATGAAATCGGGAGTCTCCCGCGAAAATCGGGAGGGTTGACAAGTATGTCTCCGCCATCCCCGCCGTGTGTTGCTGCATGTAGCAGCCGTGTGTGTGTAAACTGCCCCGCCCCCTCGCACACAGACTGGGGAAAGAGATCTTGCCTGGATTGGAAAGGTCGAAAATACACCGACCATAGACGCATTTGTTTGTCTTTTTAAATGTTAGAAACGAGTTGGCAACACTAAGACTGCAAGATAATGTTTTTGTAGCAATAATGTTTCTCAACTCGCTACTCGGCCGGCCCGCCTAACTGGCGTTATACATTTTCGCCTGGGGCGCTGAACTGTAGAGGGAGCGCAGGGGTGCAGTCCAAATTTATTTATTTTTGAATAGGCCTATGTATATTTTTTTCTTTTTGTAGGCGCCCCACAGATTCCTTTTTTTTAGGCGCCGCTCAGATCAGGATTAATTTGTTTTTTTGAGAATATGAAAAATAAAACGTAGGGGCGCCCCAACACTGCACCACCCCTCTCTATGTTTTCTTTGGTTCTGTCCATTTGTGTTTCGCGTGTCGCGCGCGCTCGCGTCTTGAACGAGAATTAGAACTTCACTGTCACAACATGAAGCGGGGCAACCCCAACGAAAAAGCCGTCTGGGGCGCATGGAGAAGGCGAAGAAAGAGAGAGGAGGAAAAACTCCAGGAAAACAGAGGTATGTCTGATGACTGTTTGTGTTTATTGGCATTTTTCAAGCAACGGTATAAAGCTAGCTAGCTAACGTTAACTAATGATAGCAGCTGATATATAGTATGATAGAAGCTGGCAGATGAGCTGCTTTACCATCTAGCTTGATAGCTCTTTTTACACCAACTGCACTGTGTGGTTTTTGACTCCCGGTTGATGTAATCCTATGAGGGAGTCCAAGAAGTAAAGTTCTTTTGGTTGTCAAGGTCCCACCAGAACACCCACTCCCCTCTCAACCTTTCAAGTAAGTCGAGGTTCACGTTGAGAAAAGTAGATACAGACTGACAGGCGAGTACTCGAAGTCCCACCAACGAGTCACAACTGTGACGAACCAGTTGAGCAAGGGACCCGTCAAGCCCCTTCAACTGTTCGGGTGTAAACGGACCTTGAAGAAGGTCCGACAAAGTTGTTGCGAGTAACTCCCTTCCACTACGTTTGTAGTTAGGCTAGGGACAACTTTTTACATTGAAGGTAGAAAAAATCCCGTACCGGTTAGACGAGTAGTCACCGCTAAATATTCTCTTGACGAGAACCAACTGGCAGGGTGGAGAAGAGGAACTCCTGTCGGGGTGTAGGTAGTAGGAGTGTGTACAGCAAATACGTCCCGACTAGCACTCCGGCCCGTTTAGGTCACCGGACGACTCATAAGTCCCACCCGGAAACAGAAAGAGTCCTCCAGTTGACACTACAGTTCAACGTAACTGTGTCTGACGTACTGCAATGACTGCGACAAACTTGAAATGACTCCTTGCCCACAGCACACGGTGGTGCGGTGTCACGTTTACCTGCTTCGCATCCTGGGGTGAAGGAGTCCGGTTTCTCGACACGCGAGATAAAACTAGTAGTACAGTCACGAACAGGCGGAGTGGAGGTTTTGAGCGTAGAGCTTGACTACTCGGACTATACGCGTGTCGAAGGTGTGGACACTGGGGGCCGAGACGGTTTGGACCAAAGTCTGACGTACTAAAGGTTCCATCAGCCCTGTACCGAGAAGTTTAACAGCGGTCGCCCCGGAAACAACTACGACTTTGTGTTACATTATTTCGAAACCTCCATCGTTTCATAGGCACCCGTTTAGATCCCTCGAAAAGCGTAAGTTCGATTGTGGGTTCTAACTTCTCACACACGCGGTGTACCGTCGCTTATCACGGGAGCCCAAATCAAGTTCATTGGACCGGACTTGAGCAAACAAAAAAGTTGACGCGTATAACCCGTGGTAACAGTCTTCTGAGCATGGATTGGTCAGGGTTTCCCCCTACAAGGTCAAGAACCTCCGGAAAGGTCCTACTTTCCCTACGTGTTTGAGAGGCGGTCAACTAAAGGAGTCGCTGTTTCCTTCGGGGTACTTCACAAGGAATTGAAGCACCGTAGAGAGGGTAACATTGGATTAGGAATTCTTACTGTACTATTGACGAGACACACCCGATTACAGCTCCACAGCCGTCAGGTCTTACTACCTTATTATAATCGGACGAATTAAAGAAGTTAGTACACCCGTCGACTAGAGAGAGTCGGCTATTGTAAGTTACATCAAGTAAAACCTTTATAAAAAAAGCTCTATTACAACCATATCCAACGTGAGGGAAAAAACTGAAATCCCGATTGCACAAGGAAAGTAATCGTCCCAGTTTGTAACACACGGTACGAGTCCGAGGTGAAGAAATTTCCTCCAACGGTAACAACCCAAACAAAACTCACACAGTCGTACAAGCGGGGACTCCGGGGGTACAAGAGAGAGGTCGGGATTACTAACTTACTCGCCGCTGGTGGAACAATGGTGGGAGTGTCCGCACCCAGGGCGTGCGACGGTGCGGTAGAGAAGGAAAGATACAGACATACGCGTGTAGAGTCAGGATTAGTTATCAAACCCGGGGAAAACATTAGCTTTGAGATTGAGAAAGGTACTAAGCGTACACAAATCATACAAGACCTCACAATAGCACCAAAAAGTCATTAACCACCGTTTCAAAAAGGTCAGTAAATCAGGGACGTGGACTAATTAAACATAAGGAAGACCTCTTGTCGAACGTGTTTGGTGTGGAGTTTCCGCGACAGCAAAAGACACGCTCATGTGGTATCGGTCGAAGGAGGAACTAAAGGAAGGGTGAAGATGGGTTCAAAAGATTTATTTGTCAAGACCACCACCGTCGAAGAGGGTAGAGGAAAAACCTTTGTTACTTCACACCAAAACGGACTATCCAGAGGTACGAGTGTTTGAGACAAGAATGGAATTAGTCTGGTACGGGGACCCCTTTTGTTTTTTTTTTAGACCGGTCAAAAAAGGCCGTCCCAGTTGTGACGACGGAACACCGCAGTGCACGAAGTCTGACAAACACCATAGCCCTGGTTACGGAGAGGAGCGTCTAACACATCGTCCGGTCCAAGTGAACCCTGTCCATCATCACTAGCAAAGTTGGACGTCTCGTGCGAGTTTGTAACGTACCTATAGTCAGTATGTGGCGTGACACACACACACACACACCACACACACACACACACACACACACACACACACACACACACACACACACACACACACACACAACACACACACACACACAACGACACACACACACACACACACAAAATTGTAATTATACATGTAATAATCATTATATCCACGATAAACCATTACTTCCTTATTATTTGATCTTTTTGACACCATAGACACGACCCTTCGAAGGTCCACACTTGGTACACGTACTTGATGGGTGTTTGGGATTATTGTGAGTTGTCCGTTATAGTGTTTTTTGAACTGCTTAGTGTACGATTGTCTGTCACTACGTCATCTGAGTCCAACATCGTCACCACCTCACCCTAATGGGTCTTATAAAATGTTTACGTTTGTCCTTTTGTGTATCTTTACGGACTCATCCAGATAAACGTTATTATGACTCGTAAGTCTGGATGACTGTATTAAAGACGACACGTTTATGCACTCGTTTTATATAAAAAATTCACTATTGGATCGATCAATTACTAAATCGTCTGAATAAAAGCACAGGTAATGGTAAACATTCGGAATGTCTACCTTGTTTTTATCTATCGAAATTACTTATTATTTATATATATGTNGTCAGGACTTCCTGCAACAACACCACGCCGTTATCTTGATTCTGATTGGCCAGAAGACATTATCAAAGATGTTCTATTGAGAAGACGATCACTACGTGACAAAAGTCACGTAGTGATCGTCTTCTCAATAGAACATCTTTGATAATGTCTTCTGGCCAATCAGAATCAAGATAACGGCGTGGTGTTGTTGCAGGAAGTCCTGACGGAGAATACCTTTGCTGTAGTACATCTCTGCTCTATATACATCGATACAACATTACATGTTGATAGAAATCAACACGTAATGAAATAAGACCCCACGGTTTGATGATTGATAGGTGTGTGGAATGTCTTTCATTTTGACACACAGAACAATGTTATAATAAACATACATACTGTATGTTAAATGGATATATCCGCCTTCTTTCATTTATCTTTCCATTCCCACAAAAATATACATAAAGAAATGGCCTATTTTGGACATAGTTCGAATGGTGATTAATCATGATTAATACATTTTTAAGCTGTGATTAATCTGCCCTAATATATGTATGTATGTATGTATGTGTGTGTGTATATATATATATACATACACATATATCATTAAATGAGGAAGTTTGAAATCATACTTGAACGGAGTTGGCCTTTTTTTGTTTTGCCCCTGCCTGGGTATTACTATTTAGAGCCGCAAGCAGTTGGAATTGTGTCCCAGTGCACTGAGTACAAAGTCAATTGAAAAAAATAATTGACAGGTTGCCAGTCCATCACAGATCTGACACAGCGGGTTACTTCCTATTTCTGCTGTGCCCAATTTCAAGTTTGCAAGTCACCTTAGCACCTCATTTTTTTTTTTATTGTATTCGAAAGCTTAGAGCGGAGCCAGTAAAAAATACTAGGCCTGGCACTCACAAAACATCTTTGACAACAATGACAGGTTGTTTTTTTGCATGTTCTGACAAGACATGAGAACAAATTGGGAAAAGAGAAAGGGGTATGACGTGCAAAAAGTGTCCGAATGCCAGAAACTAACCTGGGCCGTTGCATTTATACCGCATGCGCTGTAAGCACTTGGCTTTCAAGACAATTAAAGGACGACAGTCTTTTGAGACACCCTTGCAACTATGTCTGCACCGTAAAACATATTTTCATTATCATTAATTTGTCTTTTAATTGCTGGGTTATTTAATAATTAGTAGAAATGCTAGAGCCCAGATGACTCCTCCTTGTTGTATCCAACCAGCAGTCCCAAATTCGAAGATATCGACTGTACTATCACATAACAAACAAACAGCAAATTGCCCCATTTCAGAAGCTAGGAAGCAGATAATGTCTGTCATTTCTTTCTTGTAAAATGATATTGATTCTCCAAATTGTTGCATATTATTTTTCTCTCCATCGACTGTTTGATGAATGAGCCAACTGCTCCGCTTTCAAAAGCACTGTTGGACCAGTTCTCTTAAGTGTCATTATTTATCAACTTCTAGATTTTGTATTGACTTGACAGCAGGGCAAGTATTTTAGTATTACATTTAGTATCACCTTTAAACCAAGCATGAAAAGTCTTGTCAATTTTAGAAAGGATCCAAATAAAATATGTAAAATGCTAGGTTTACTTTACTTGTATCAATAAATGTACCTAATTTTAACACAAACTGTTTCCTTGTCATTTTTAGTAACAGCAATGAGGGCGCGGCTTTCAAAGAGGAAAATGTAGCAGCCATCACAGAACTCCAAGAGGCGCACACAAACGCTCTGAGCAAGATGGCAGTCTCCGTCACAGAGCTTGAAAGGTGAGCACTCCAGTTGTCAGTATTCCTGGAGTTATGAGGTAACATTCAGTCAATGTGTACGCTTCACAGAACGCTTCTCTACTGCTTTTCAGCACCAGGGATGCTCTGCGGGGGGCAGAGGGAAGACGGGAGGAACTGCAAGCGGAGGTGGAGAGGGTGACGCAGCAGGTGGAGGAGATGGAGAAAGGGCTTCAACAGAAAGAGGCGGAGGTCAGCCAACTTAAGGAGGGGCTCGAGGAGCACCAGGAGCGACAGTTAGCCGGAGCAAAAGCCAGGGAGGATAATTCAAGGTATGCTTCCAATTCCCTTTGCGTAGAAATAACTGTCATTCTTCCAGTTTTTTCTATATTATCTTTTTTCCTTGACTCATTAGGAAGTTGCTGGAGGTCCAGACTTGCCTTGCACAAAAAGATGAGGAGATAAAAGCCATGGAGACGAGCCACGCCGCCCTGATCACTCAGCTACAGCTGGACATACAGCTGCAGGCGAAAGAGAGAGAAGAGGCTCTGGGGCAGCTAGAGGAACAGAGAGGTCAGGGTCTGACTCAGCTCCAAAAGGAAAAAGCCCAGAAACTGGTAGAGGAGGTCCGCCAAGAGAAAGAGGAAATAATGGAACAGCTCACACAAGAAAGAGAAGAGAAGTTTGAAATTCAGATAGCTCTACAGGTGGAAAAGGAAGCATTGGAGGTTGAAAGGGAGGAGCACCAGCAGGGCAGGTCAGAGGTGCTCAGACTGAACGCAGAGATTGAGAGAATAGACGAGGAAATGAAGAGTCTTCTGTCTCAAGGGGAAGTCAAAGAGCAGTCCAGGCTCGCTCTGGAAAATGAACTAAACGTGGCAGAGCAGGAGAGAAATCGCCTGGAGGAGGTCGTGCAAGGCGGCGTGAACTTCCAGGAGCGATTAGACATCATGGAGGAGAAGACCCTGACTCTGCAGCGCCAGTTGGAGGAACAGAGACAAGACAGGCGGGCTCTGCAGGAGCAGGTGGAAGTTCTGACTCAGCAGAAGGTGACGCTGCAGTGGGAGATGGAGGAGCAGCGGCAGGAACTCAAGAGACAGATAACTGAAGCCCAGGAGAAAAGGTGAGGGAGTTTGGATTCTTTTTGTGTGCGCAGTTTTTAATTGAGGTTTTTTTTTTTTTTATTGCACTTTTTAACCCTGCGTTTTCTTCTTCTCAGCTCCCACAGTTCAGAGAATGAAAAGTGGAGGAAACAATATGAGGAGCTTTTTGCGAAAGTCAGGCCCTTCCAGGTGAGTTATAAAAAAAGAACATCGATTATCATCTTTTTTTAAAGGTCCCATGTCATGCTTTTCCGGTTATTACCCGTCCCCTTGTGTGTTATGAAGGTTTTTATGCATGTAAACAGTGTGCTAAACAGTGCCGAGCAAAACCTCAAGACACCTGTGTGAGTTAAACTCTACACGAAATACCTCTCAAAAGCCGGTTGGAGATACGTTCACTGCTCCATGATTCTCGGTAACTTCATGATGTAAGCGTTACCCGGGAACCAAATGGACCAATCCGCGGAGCCGTTGTTAGCAGCTGATTGCGTCCAACTGACCACTCCCGGCTTCCTCACACACACACTTCAGTGCATCCAGCTCTGCTCCATTTCTCCTCTGGCGCAGTGCTGATACAGACAGTTGGAATCGCGGCGAAATTTCTCTCTGCAGACCCATACTCACAGCGTTATTCAACCTTTTTCGTATCAATATCAAGCCTACACTATTGTTTTACTTCGGCTGCTGACTTTGGTGTGCTCAGGCCGTGAGTTTGGCTGGTGTTCGCTGTCGCCTAAAC